TTGATTTCCAGCAGTCAATGACCTCAGCTCCCGCTCATAGGAAATAAAGGCCATCAGACCTTAGGTGTCTTTATTTTTCTGTTTCCTCAGTTTTATTTTGCTGCTTCTATCCCCTTCTCACCCTATCTCAAGAGGAATAAAAGGGTGTCTTTTCTTGTTGCCACGATAGATTGTTCCACCTATGTTCACCATCTCGTCTTCTCTCTCTCCTCAGGAACTCACTTCTCTATCAATTAAGCCCCCTTTACTCCCGTTACTTTCTTGTTTTTCAGTTTTATCACTTTCAGAGTATAATCTATTTAAGTTGCATCTTAAAAAGCAAATGTTCTCTATTATGGCTTGCTTTTAGCTCCTCTTTCCCAAGCATCATGACTCAACTTCCTTTTTTTTGCCACAGGGTGCATGCACTCACCATAAAGACAGAGACAGAGAGTCAGGAAGCGAGAAATCACCCCTCGGGGGGATGGCCACACCACAATCCCTTCTCCTCCATTCTCTTCTTGAGATATTGGGCACACACACACACACACACGTGCACCCAGTGTGAGTTTAAGCCACTGAGTCCAGGACTCCAAACATGGTTGACTACATGGGAGTCCAGAGACATAACCCTATGCCAACTGCTGGTCTTGTATGATTCAACTTCTGAAAAAAACCTGTCTAACATCATTTGGCTCAGTTAGATTGGAATAACAATCACCTGAACCAAAGAATCGGTTTTTGAAGAAGTTCTATACGTGGTGCCGAGCTCAGCTAGCTTAGTTAGGCACTTAGCTTTCTCTGAGTCTGTCCTTTATTTGTTCATTAGTGGGCTGAGTTTGGCTTCTGTCTCTAGCATTCCTCTGGGACTGATCTGGCTAAAAATTAAAAACGTTGTTTTCAACTGAGAAGCCCAGTGAAGACTCTTCAACTCCTACTGTATTTAAGCTCTTTGTAACATTGACTGTTAACTACCCTGCCTTCCAAATGTCACTCCTCTGATTTTCTCTGAATCATTTTCCTCTACCTGTTTTTCCACTGCTGGTCTTCTACTAGGTTCTATTCATTGGTGTCCTCTGATATCTCTGTGCCTACACCCTCAACCACAGGTGAAAACTTCCACATATAAGCATTTAATTTACTTGTGCTGATGATCACTGAAATCCACATACTCAAGCCAGACTATATTTCTCAATTCCAGAACCAAATATTTTCTTGCATGCTTGATAGTTATTCCACAAGTTCAGTACATTCATGAGACCAGCAGATGGCATAATGGTTAGGTTGCTGGACTCCCACATGGCCAATTGTGGGTTGAGTCCCTGAAATTCAGGCAGGGTGCTTGTGTAGGCATGCCCAAAATCCCAAGAGAAGGGGTTGAGGCATGGCCATCCTCCCTAGGGAGTAATTTCTCACTTTTTCTCTTACACATTCCAATGCTCTTAAACAATAGTCATCTTAGACTCTTACCCTTTATCTCACCCTACATGTATATAGTTATACTGCCTATTATGTCTGTCCCTAAATTTTTCTAGAGTCTGTCTTTTGTTTATCAATGCTTCCTTAATTTGAGACTCTCATAATTCATAACCTGAATTACTGTGAGAACCAGCCCATGGATTCTGTTATGTTTACAGCCTTGTCTGCATCTTATCCTCCATGTTGCTATCAGAGTGAGCTGCTTAAGAGAACATTATGGCCTATTGCCTTTCGTGAAGTCCAAACTCCTTTTCTTGACTTTATAATCATCTTCTCTTCTTTTCTCAGCTTTATCTTTCGCCCACCTCTCTACAGGCATCTTTCAATTTATACATGAGCTTCTTGGGTTCCCTGAGCTGGCACATGCTCTTGTGCTTTATGAGTATGGAAATTATCGTAAGTTCTAGCAATGTCCTTTCCCTATCTAGAGCTGATGCTAGCCCATCATTGCCTCTGCACAAATTAGAAATTGATTCTCCATCCTGACAGCTATTTCTGTGGGTGCTTGGATTGGTGATAGATATACCTTTGTGCAGAATAGAAAGACATCCCCTCTGTGCTGAAGCGGCCACATGCTCAGGTGCAAGTTTTGGGGAGCAGCGTACGGCTCTGTCAGCCCTTCCAACCCCCTCTGCTGGGATACTCTGGGCAGTGAGCAACCTATTTAACAGCAGTAGCCCTGTTCATCCTCATTTTGGAAACCTCTTATTTATTTAAGATTGATCTCTGTCTGGAATTTCTCTCTCATTAGATACATGTTTTTATCCTTTTACTTGGTCATCTGATGCTTAGGAAACCCAGAGAAAGCTGTGAGCCCACTTTCCATTAATACGCTCCTAATATGCATTCCATCACGGAGCTGTGCTTAGAAATCACCTTCACAGTAGTACTCACTTTGTGGGTTCTCATGCCCAGGATGGAGTTTGCCCTTGCACAGGCACTGAATAAAGGTTTGTGGACCTTTTGAGAACATTTTTTGACAATCTACTGTGCTTTCCCTGTGTGTCTTTATATTACTGGCAAACTCCTCTACCCTTAAAGTACTGCCATTGCTGTTTTCCTGTCTATGTCTCCAGCTAGACTCTGAGATTTCCCAGGGCAGTCACTGCTATGTTCATAGCTATATTCCCAGCACCTAGCACAGCACCAAGCATGTACTAGGCATTCAATACACATTTGTTAGATATATGTGATTCAGTGGCATTTACCGGTTTGTTTAAGGTCATTCAATCAGTGTTGGTGAACGTGGAACTGTTTCCATATTTTCATAATCTGGATCTCATGTCTTGGATATTTTACATTCTGCATATGTATATTGAGTTGCTGGAAAAGTCATGGTGTATTTCTCTATGTAAAAATGCAACATGACTTTTCTTTCTTTTGTTTTTTTGGAGAGGCTTTTGCTATAGGGCTCATGCGCTAGCCAGAAAGACAGAGAGCGACAGAAAGTTAGAAATCACTCCCCAGGGGGGATGGCCACACTGCAATTCCTTCTCCTTCATTCTTCTCTCAGGATCTTGGGCATGCATGCACATGTACCCGGCGTGAGTTTAAGCCACCAGGTCTGGGACTCGAACCACAGTCGACTACATGGGAGTCCAGCGACATAGCCATTATGCCAACTGCTGGTCCCGCATCATGACTTTTCTGATGACCTTGTATATACATATATATAAATGCATTTAGGTGACTCTTTAACTGTTAAATAGAGAAAAATAGGATACTGACAAATCTATGTATTTGGATTAATATACTAAAACAGGTACCCATGTTGATATGTATTGATTATAGTTTCTTAAATACTCCAATATCTTACAGATTACTTCTTCAGCTTATGCTGAGTCATAAACAAACTTTTGTTGAATAAAATTTAGCTACTGTTTTGTGAGTGAGAATCTGTTAGAAAAAAGATTAAAACAAGTATTCTAAGTTAGAACCTTACTCGAGGAACCCTAACCTTTGCATCTAGATGTTTGTGTGGCTTTCTCATTGTTTTTAATGCAGCATTCTTAATACTGGTTTAATCAATACCTACCACTTACTGCTTTTGGTTTTTATGCCCAGGGATAGAGGAAATTCAACTCAATTGAGTATATTAGGTCTCATGAGTTAGAATTTCTTTCAGATGAGAATTATATTTACTTGGTCCTAAATTTTCCATTAGTTTGCTTCCTAGAATTCTGTGTTTCATTAATAATCTAACTGCTTACATTGGAATTGATTTCTTTCGACTCTAGTAAATTTCCTTTAGTTTCCCCCCGACCCCAAGCTGAAATTGTCATCCATTTTACCATTTGAAATGGGACTAACAAATAGTTTGATGCAAATAAAAACTTGCATGGAAATAAACAACAGTTTTCCCCCCTCTTAGAAAAATGGAGTGGACTGGCTGGTAACCTTGTGGCTAAGGGAGCTGGATCCCACATGGCCCACTTCATGGTTTGAATTCTGACCCTGGGGGCTTGAAAAACACACCAGGCACTTGTGACAGGGTGAAGAGGTGGAAGAGAAGGGATTGCGGTGTGACTACACCCCATGGAGCTTGGGATTGCTGCCTCCCCCACCCCGCTTCCCCCTACCCTGTCTTTCCCTCTCTCTGGTAAGCACACACACTCTTCGAGAACTAAAAAAAAATAATGGAGCCAAACTGTTGTCAGAACTTGAAAGTAATAATTCCCATTATTTCTTTTTTACATGTATTTCTTTGAGCAAATCCAATTTTTTTTTTTTTATTAAAGCAAACCTACCTGTTTGCCATCTATCTTGGATTCATTTAAAATGATCTATTTCCTGTGTTGTAGAACTTGCTTCAACTCCCCATTAAATTTGTTGTCTAGGGATTTTACTTGTTTTTCATAGCAAATTTTGAAAAATGACAGTTGTGTTGTGGTGAGCAAAAAAGCAAGTGTTCCTGGGTTATTCAAATTGGATTAAAATATGCCAGAACCATGGTGTTGGTAATATCAGACATGAAGCTCTTTGTCTCTAGGCTCTCCAAATAACTAATTAAAAAAAAAAAAAAACTCTTTTCTATTCGAGTGGATGGCTTGTTTTATGGCATGTGCTATTCTGTCCCTCAACAGCTTTAAGTATCTGATTCTAAGTCAGAAGGGAGTTGGATTGGTTTATTGAAAATATTTTTCTGAATGCTTTAGTAGAATGTGGGTGTACATACAGATTTTATATAATATTTAACCATTTATTATAACTTTAACATACTTGGTATGAAATTTTCATGTTTCTATAGAACATTTGAAAACATTACTTAAAAATGAATGTTGCTATCATTTGAACTAAAGAATAAAAATGTGAAATAATATTGTTATGCCAATCAAGTTGGGAAAGGGGAGCTATGGAAAGAACTTGCGGCATCTGGTTTCCAGTAGAGTGGTTATGAATTCTGAGAGGGAATATTATCTGGGAACCTCTGGCAAGGTACAATAGTAGATTGTTAAGGTCACTTGAACCTATGGATAACTTTAACATTATGATTCTGCTTAAAGCTTCCTTAGTGGATTCCATTTTGATATTTGCAATTTCAGAGCAATAAACTGGAGGAGAAAAAAAGACTTCAAGAAAAACAAAGAAGAGAAGCATTTAGAGAGCATCATCAATAGTAAGTATGTTTTCAGAACTTTGTTGTGTTATACGCATATACATTAAACTTTTAAATTCTAGGTGATGGCCACTTTTCCAGATATTCAGTACTGGATTATTGACTATTAATTATGCAATTGAATTACTATCATATAAGCAAGAATCTGTGGTTGGAGACCACTGTACTCAACCAAGGTACTCTTTAGTAGTCAGTTGATTAGCAATGATACTGAATTTGGGAAACTCTCTATTATAAATAACTTGGAGGGCTTGATATTTTTGGTGATCCAGGGTACTTCTGATTATACTCACTTAAAGGACACTGATATAAGGTAGGGTTTTGAAATGAAGTGTTCAAGTAGAATCTAAACTAGATAGCCATCTAATGGACATGGGATCATTATATACATGTATTTATTCTAGACAAGAATTAAAAAAATATTTATCAGTTATTGGCCAAAATCCAAACTCCAATTGGGCATACACAAAGGTATTTTTTTTTCCAGCATTGTTTATAAATAATAGCTAATATGTGCCAGCTAACTCCTATGTACTTTACAATGCAGATCATCTACTCTGTTATATAAATGTTAAAGATAAGTTTGTGTCCCAACTCTTGGCATCTAGGATACTTGCACACTGATTTACAAAAAGACAAACCTGGGGGCCAGCAGATGGTATAGAGGTTACAGTGCTGTCTCCTACATGGTAAACCATGATTCAAGTCCCGGACCAGGGGTCTTGAAACTCATGGTGTGTGCTTGTACATCTATGCCCAAAATCCCAAGAGAAGAATGGAGGAAAAAGGATTGTGGTATGGCCATCCCCCATTGGGGTGATTTATCACTTTCTGTCATTCTCTGTCTCCAGCAAGCATGTACACCCTATAACAAAAATCTCTCTTTTTTTAAAAAAAAAAAAAAAAAAGACAAAACCAAAGACCCATGTTTCTGGCCCTAATTATTCTAGATGTAGTAGAATTACAACCAAGCAGATCTAGATTCAAAGACCTAGTTCCATTCCCTTGCTGTGACCTTGGGCAAATTACTAAACCTCTATGAATCTCAGTGTTTTGGTGTTTTGTTTTTTTTTGTTTGTTTGTTTTGTTTTGTTTTGTTTTCCTTATTATTGCCAGAGAGATATAGAGAAACAGAGAGAGAGAGAGAAAGAAGGAAAGAACCCTCACTGGTATGTGGCCATACTGAAATACCTTATCCATTTTTTCATCCTAATGGGATTTTGGGTGCACATGCACCTGGCATGTATTTCAAGCCACTGTGGCAGGATTCAAACTGTATGGTCAACCATGTGGGATCATGCTCTCTTAGACACTAGGCTACAGGACTGGCCCTGTTTGTCTTATTATAAAATAGGGGTGATAATATCCATTCCCTAGGCTATTTGTAAGAATTAAAGGAAATAATGGGGCGAGCAGGTGGCATGGTATTCAAGAGCTGAACTCCTACACGGCTGACCACAGTTTGAGTCCTGCACTAGCTGGCTTGAAAAATCACACTGGGTGCATGTGCATCCATGCCCAAAATCCAGAGAAGAGAGTGGAGGAGAAGGGATTGCAGTGTGACCATCTTCACTGGGGAGGGGGGGTGATTTCTCACTTTCCCTCTGTTACTCTCTAGTGAGAGAACACACCCTATGACAAAAACCTTAAAAAAAAAGAATGAGAAGAAATAGCTTACGTAAATGGCACTGAAGTGCTGAATGTTAAAGGGGCTTGAAATGATAGTTCTTACAAAGGTTCTTGTTGAATGGCATCACACAACTTTTATTTTGTAGAGACTATTTACTGATTTCTGGTCCCACCAGAGCCAGCAGTTTGGCTTCCCACTCTGATGTGGAATGTTTGCTGTTTGCCTCCTGTTCTCTGCCTCCATTGTTGTCTTTCATAATATATTTTTGTTTTGTTTTGTTTTTGCTAAAGGGTAGGTGTACGTGCTGTGGTGAGACAGAGACACAGAGAGAGAGAGAAAGAGAGAAACTGAGAATTCAACCCTCGGGGGAATGATCACTCCATAGTCCCTTTTTCATTCTCCTCTTGAAAATTTGAGCATACACACACACATGCCTGACATATTTTTCAAGCCACTGGGTACAGGACTCAAACTGCACAGTCAGCTATGTGGGATCCAGTCATCTTAACCTCCTTGCCACCTGCTGACCCACGTTAACAGAATTTAAGATCACTCAGATGTTAGGGTAAACATATGTGTGACACCTTAGAGTTTATTCCTATTCTAAGTAAGTGTCCTCTGGTTTCTCATAGCCTTAAAATGATTGCCTCTATTGTAGGAAGATCCTTCTTTAAGAATCAGAGACAGGAAGGGACCAGCAGTTAGCGTAATGGCTGGGTCGGTGGATTTCCCAC